AAAGTCCAGAGGAGAGAGTAAGGGCTTAAAAAAAAAATACAAATGAGAGAAAAAGGCTTAAAAAAAACATAAAAAGTATAAATAAGAAGGAAGGGCTTAAAGAGACGAATCACCTTATGAAAACCACTTATTAACCAATTATTAGGGCTAAAGAGAGAGTAAGTGTGTTAGCCTTTTACTAAGCTGGGATAGGGTAGAGGGATGAACATCAAATATTTTTAAAGATTACCCATAAAACACATAATTTTTTAAAAAATATTGGGTAATCTCTTTCATTTATTTACTATAAAATGTACCCAAACCGTAAAAATGTTGTAGATTTTCAGATACCCAAAACGGCCCCTTATACTCTTTTGTTTGCTGAGCCTACCTCATCGGCTCGTTTATGGTGGTCCCATATGACCAAACTGTTTATAGGCCAATAGGAAGAGACCAAGTTAGGGGGACTTTTACGCCCTTAGGGAGCATGTGGCAATTGGAAGCTGGAATTAGAATTGGCTCGAAATTTGGAAATCTAAATATTTAGTAATAGAAAATACTATATTTCGTTAGGAAAAATTACGTTTGTATAATATTTAAATATGGTGATTACAAGAAGGTGGTCCAAATTTTTACAAGTTTTACACGGTGGTCAATTTATTTTTTTCAACGTTGCCCTTTGGTCCATTATTTAGAGCATCAGACCACCTTTTTATTTTATTCTTGTAAATTTTTTGAAGTATAAGGATCGATCCGACGTTTGGATCCTCAAATCATCTGTACAAATCAGATCGTCCGAGGTTTAGAACATCAAACTTCCTTATAATTTATATTTTTTTAAGTATATGGTCTGATATTTGTTACATGGAACACTTTAAAAAAAAAAACAAAATAAGATGGTCTAATATCTCTAACATTGGACCCACCCAACTGCTAACGAATGCTTCCACTGAAATCCATGGTATGATGTTTGTTATATGGGATAGAAACTTTCAAGAGGAAAACAAAATAGAATGGTCTAAAATAGAATGGTCTAATATCTTTAACATTGGACCCACCCGACTGCTAACGAATGCTTCCACTAAAATCCATTCCAATTACGTTCTAAGTATTCCATTGGACCACAAATTTTTTGAAAATTTCTGCCATTTCCTTGTTCCATGAGTACTCTCTTAGTTTTCCAAACTGGAGACTCTACATAAGTTCATATACTTCACAAAATTTCAGTAAAATTTAGAAGTTTTTGTGGAACATTGGGTCAACTCCGACATAAAGAGCTTGAATAGCTTTCCAAGAGTTGTTCTTTGGGTACGTCCGATGTCCGACCGGCCTATTTTGCTTTTCTTTTTAAAAGGACTTTTGGTTCGAAGTCTCCAACATCGGATCATTTATTTTTTAAAAAAGCATGAGGTGTCTCTACTCTTCCAAAAAATTAAAAGAAAAAATAATAAAAATTGATTTAATATTTGAAATATCGGATTGGGGATAAAAATTTTAAAAAATAAAAAAGATGAAAAAACATAGTGATATGATGTTTGGATATCAGACGGGTGGGTCTCATCATAAATTTTGATAAATTTTGGACCTTCCCATAATTATCATATTTAAATGTAGTACGGACGTAAACTTCCATTTAATTAATCATTTTGAAATTCTAGGAATTTGGTAAACTATTTTTAGTTTAACCTTGGATTTTGTAAATCCAAATATTATAAATTAACAAGGTGATGACCTTAAACTTTCCTTTAATCTTTCTCATTAAGTAGGCCGTCAATGTAAAACTTTACCAAAACTTTTCATTTTCTATCCTTCATTATAATTTTCATTGATCAAAGAGTGATATTTGTCACATAAATGAGATTTTGAAAGCGTAACTCATCCACCGTAAGTCTAACACAGTTAAAACATCATAAGAAGAGAAAATAATGTTAATATAGTTCACCATCTCTCTCCCATATCATCTCACTTCCAATCTCTACAAGGTAAACTATGATGTGTTTTTTTTTTTAAACATAGTAAACCATGATGTGTTCTCTCTATCGTATATCCCTCTCTCTCTCTCTACCAGGGGAGTTTGCATCAAACGGGGAATGTGGTATGCTATTGCAAGAGAAATTAAATTAGTACATAAAGCATTCATCCATGTTACTGGTGCATCATTAAATCGTCTAGGCTTGTGCACGAGCAGTGATTTAAAAAAAGTTGGTTGGTAATGTATCGTTCAGTCTTGCTCGAGAATCGGTCATCCTGTATCGATTTTGTCAACATATAAGAAATTATCCAGGTCTAGAAGATAACCGGCAATTTGCTATAGTAAAACAATGTTTTTCTACAGTAAAAATGTAATTTTACTATAGTAAAAATGCTGATTCATTGTCTGGACTAGTTTTTTGTCAGTTCACTATTTTTGCACGTGTTTTATTGCGGGTTCCCTATTTTTTTTGCACAATAAAACTGCATTTCAGACCGTCGAATCACCGATCCGAACCAATTCTTGCAATGCCAAATGTGGGTCACCGATCCGTTTTTTCAAATCACAACTAAGAAGGCTATAGCCAGTTCATCATGTATATAAAAAGAGCATTGAACAAGGAATATTCTCTCCAAATTTCAGCTAGAAATTAAGAGAAATGTCCAGAGGAAAATGACGATACCAACCTGATTCTTCTCGTCTTTTGGCAAGAGGAATAGCGCCCGTGGCAACACATGAACAGTGTGCTACTATAACGTTCCCCTAAAAAATGGTACAAAATAATATGGGAATGTGAATTTTGAGTCACAACCATCCCAAAGCCTACATTTTTTATGAGGTCCTTCAACACCAACTATGATGACCCTCCAAAATTGGACTGGATGTGTTGTGATTTTAGAGGCCTTGCTATGGCTTTCTGATCTATCCGACTATTTCCAATGTATATGTTTTTGGTTTTCTATCAGAGCAGACAACCCCATGCTTTTTCTGTTGAGGGGCCACCTCCCTCACTTTTTAAGGATTTGTTGGATAGAATGATGCCCAAATGGCCATCATTAGGTTTAAAGTATGTTGTTGGGAACGGGTATGGTTCAGTTCTATACTCTATATTTAACTAAACTAATGTTGCTTTGTGATTCAAAAAATACCCCCCAAATAATATTAATTGGGACATTTGTAAGGGGTTATGACCATTAAATAATATATTCTTAAAAGTTTATAGTAATGTTTCAAAACCTGAACCATGGGGTGGATTGTTCACCTCAAATATCTGCATTGGATCAGCAATCTGGATTGATGATCTAAAAAATATTTAAAAATAAGCATGAGCTAGCCAAAGAGCGAAGCGAAATCATGTGTCTTAGCTTCGCTCCTTAGCTTAGTCAGCTACATCGGCTTATGCACCTTAGCAAACGAAGCTACAACGAAACTTCGACAAAGCTTTGCTTTGCGCTTCGCTCATTTCAATTAGGGCAACAAAGCTATAATGAACCTGGACCTGAAGATGATCGTCGTCTCACTAAAATTGAGCAATCTCTATAGTGCATTTCCCGTTTGCGAAAGCGCCACCTACATATTGGTTTGGAAACGAATAAAAGAATGCTAGAATCATATGAAATTAGGGAAAAAAAATACAAAGAGCTTAACAAATTCTAACTCCATCACCTGAGTGTAAAACAAAAATTAAAATCGGGGTTTATGGGGGTGGCATTTAAGAAAAACTAAAAAATATTAGATAAGTTTAAAAAACAAAAGATAAAAAATATAAATGGCCACGATCTATATCTTTTTAGAACTGATTCGATCCAAGCCAATTTTTAGTCTAGACCGGATTTTTAAAACCCGGATAGTGTAGGTTTAAAACAAAATGCCAGCAACTTGTTGCAAGTGATAGTAGAGGAGATTCCATACGAGTGTTTTAAGCATTTGCTTTCGTAGCAGACATCCTCTGTTTGATGTGTATGACACATACATACATCTGCATCCATTTTCAATCAGAACGGAAGATTAACCATAGTAAGATACATACATCACATTAAAGTACATTCAATCTCTATACATTCGTGGGTGGGGAATAGGAATGCAGTAAAGGGCATGTCAGCTAGCTTGAGGGATATCCATTCGTGTAAAGGCTTTCTACATCGTGATATTAAGTAGTGTGTGGGCAATGGCTGCAATATCTCCTTTTGGCATCATAAATGGTTGGGGGACTACCCATTGAAACTAAGTTTTCCTTTGATTTATCATTTGATGACTAATCAAGAAGCCACTATTGCCGAGTTTTTTGTTCGCAGGGGTAGTAATGTTGAGTAGAATATTATTCTGCCTTATAATAGGGTTTCTGATTTGGTTTTCTCTCAATTTGCTGATCTTCACAGACTATTGAAAGATGTTTATATCCAGCATAATGCTTCTGATGAGGTAGTTTGGCAGATTGACAAAAATGAGATTTATTTAGTTAAATCTATGTATCATTTGCTCTACCGTGATAGGGTGCGATGGTCTATGCCTGAAATAACTATCTTGTGGAAATGACCCATACCTATCAAAGTGCAAGGTTTTATTTGGTTGGCAGTTCAAAACAGAATTCTCATCGTTGAAAGCTGTACTGATAATGCCACTGGGGTGCGGACTGTGAATTTTGCAAAGATCTTTGCCCTTCTTTTTAGCCTTTGTTCTCTTGTGGAGAGGAATTTGGGGACTTCTTACATTATTGAAGGGAAATTTCTCAATTTTGTGAAAATGGTGCAAAGGAGAACAAAAACTTTCTTCAGAGTTCAAATCTTTTTTATTTCAGATTTTGGATCTTGTCTCTTCTTTTGTTCATGTGTATAGAGAGGCTAATGTCCTAGTTGATTCCCTGGCCAAAAGAAGTTCTACCCTATGTGAAGCCGTTATTTTGGATTATGTAATCTCGTTTTAGATTAATCTTTGAACTTAAAAAAAAATAAAAAAAATAAAAAATAAAAATAAATAAATAAATAAATAAATGGTTACAGTGTGATAACTCCTCCACTGTAAAGTTCAGCGTGATAACTCCTCCACTGTAAAGTTCAAATTAAACATGATTGGTGTGATATCTCCTCCACTCCTTGGTCGAGAGAGAGAGAGGGACATGGCTGCCTCTCAGAGCCCATCATCTCTCCTTTGCCCTACCACTTTTGATGGCGTCCTCGCTTCCTCTAAAACCCTAGTACGTTTTCCATTCATGAAAAACCCTAGAACTAGGGCCCTCTTTCTCTCCCCTCTCTCTGCATCTTCAAATGATTCTTCAGCTAGGCTGGAAGATGGTGCAGAGGTTCCAGACGTTGTAAAGCTCGCTCTTGAGAGAGCCAAGGCCTACAAAAAGTCCAAAGAAGGAAACCGTAATCCTAAATCCATCCCCAACTCGGTACTCAACGAGAAGCTTGATTCGAAACCAGTTGATTCCCTGGCCAAAAAAATTGAAAATGCGAGCTTAGAAGGTGATGCGCAAGTCCCAGATGCTGTTAAAATGGCGTTACAGAGAGCTGTTGAGTACCGGAAGGGAAAAAGGGAGAGAGGAAAAGGAGTTGAAGGCCCATCGAGTGTTTCAAAATCTGAGGCGGCAATGCCAGGTACTCAACACTTAAGGATTTTGTTTTTGTCCTCTGAATCCATGGATTTTTAGTTCATGTTCAGAACTTGAAGTGAGTTATGCACCATAATTTTAGGGTCTCAGGGACAAAGTTCCCTAGGTGGATTGAAGGAGAGAGATGAAGTAGAAGAGAAATCAGCTCTCAAGGATGATGCTGAATTCATGAGTGTTAAGAGGGGAATCCCCGAACAGGAAGGAACAATTTCTCGCATTGATTTTATGGGGCTCGATTTTTCAGATAAGAAGAACTACAGGGGCTTACCTCCCGGTTTGGTCCCAGTATCCGAACCATTTCCTGAAGGTGAGATCCCTGACGTGGAGATCATAGTTGGTGACACGTCAAAATTTGGAATGAAAACTGAAACAGTCGAGGAAGACAATAGTTCAGATTTGTACAAGCCAAAGGTTTCAACATGGGGAGTGTTTCCAAGGCCAAGTGACATATCAAAAACTGTGAGAAAAATATGATTTTGTGGTGATTTTTTCTATACATAGTTTACATTTTCTTGAAAATTATAACCTAGCTTAGATTTGGTATTTATAAAAGGATGGGAACCTGGGTTTAATGGTTGCTTGTTTTGGGTAAATGGTTTAATGGTTGCTTTGTTTGTTTGAAAATGTATGATATCATTTTTCTTACTCTGATTGATTGATTGATTGCTTTAGGTAAGTCCAATTTAACTAACAGAAAAATTACCGGAAGATTAGAAATTGAGATGAATAGGATACTCTTGAGAGTAAGAAACCTCAAAGAGGAGGAATTTGGAGAACACGTTCTTCTCTTTGAAATAAATGTCAACGCTTTCTTCCTTGATCACTGATTCAGCTAGTTCGATAAAATCCACTAGAAGTTGCGTGATGGGATGATTCTGAATTTCTAGCTAATAAAGCATTTAGTAATTTATCGCAAAATTTTATGATAATCTCCTCTTTGACTGGGAAAGATGGTTGGGTTTGGCAAATTCCCATCTTGGGTGCTTCTGTTCAGTTGCATGTAATCAAGAACATCGAAAAGGACTAAATTAGGGAGAATCTGTTCCCATTGTGAACGGAAAAGAGTAGTCCTGCGCTTTTACAACCAAAGAAACTTTAATGTGTGATGGACTAAAAAAGAGCATTTTATAATTGATACTATGTGTGCTACCATGCACTGTACACTATAGTGTCATTTTCTTTCAGTGGTTTTCTTCATTTTTGGCTACAGTTCTGGTTGAGTTTATTATGCATCCCAAAACAAACAAATATTTTTTTTTGGGATTTAAAGGAAAAAAAAGAAAAATAGAACACATGAAGGAGTGTTGATGGTTCATACTTTTTAATAGTATTTGTGTGCAATACATCTACTTCTAATATGCACTAACGTCCTTTGCCAGGGTCATGAATCTTCCCTAAATAAATCTTAGGATATACTTCTACGATGCATTGATGTCCTTTCATGGGTTCATGAATCTTCCTAAATAAATCTTAAGCATCAAGCAACATTTACATCCCTATGTCTTAGGAACTCCTTGTTTGTTCCCGACCTACCTTGAAGGAGAAAACTTAATAAGTGTTCATACTTCCGTACTTGTAACATAGTACATTTGTTGTCTTAACTTGTATTGACAATCTAGAAATGATGTTGGGAACACGTTATTGTCACTGCTTGTATCTCTCTTTAGGATGGATAACATTTTCCCCAACCAATTTTCCTCCTGTCGTTTCTATTGGCAATCTGTGCCTATGGCAATAAAGAAGAAGCAGCCCCTTCCACATATAAATGTAAAATGTTGGACATTGATGACTGCTGTCTCATCACCAAGGAGCAAGAAGCCGGATAGCAAATGTCCTTTTTGCCGTAATCAGTTAATTATTCTCCCAGTTCTAGCCTTTAGAGTACTTGGACATTTTGACAAATTAATGTGTCTTATTCAGTTGCATTGTTTTTCCTTTTTATTGCTTCAAACATCTAATAAGGTATTTAGCCAACTTACTGCTATATGCTTTATGGGCACCTTGTCAATGCCTGTGTCACACATTATTCTCATATTCTCAAGCAGAGTTAGAAGTCTCCAATTAAGACATGATTTGTTCAGAAAATCTGTGATTTTTTGAAATCCATTAAGAACTCTGAGTTTATCTAAAGATCCCCAAATAATTGTGTTTTTTTAATGGAACCAATAGAAATCCGTATTTTATCTTTTCTCAAAAGAACTTCTAAAAAGACTTGTTCCAATAACTTTATTGAAACTTCCAATCTCTTCATTGATTTTATATCTTTGAATTTTTGTTTTCAGAAAAGAATGTTGGAAGTGAGATTAAATTAAGAATCTTGATTGAGCAAAAAGTCCATAAAAAATTTTCACCAACAAATTCTCTTAAAAATTTACATATATAAAAACACGAGGAATGTATTCCTAGAAAAAAGAATCTCTTAAGACAACTATCTACTCAAAATAATAGGTAGAGTTATAGGAAGATTAACCCAATGAAATCTTTTTCTCTAAAGTCTAAACCAAGAGTATCATTACAAAGAGCAAGAGAGAGATTCAGTCATGACCAAAGATTTGGGCTGCTGGAAATTCGATATAAGGCTCGGATATTTGGGTCTGTTACATATGTTGTTCAGTACAAGTAAGCATTTTGTCGCGTTCTTTTTGTATACAGTTGGTTTAATTAAGTTCACCTTACTGAATTTTTGGACAATTTGGATGGACCACTGTTTCACATTTTGGGCTCTCTTGTTTTTGTTAGCTGCAATCCTATATTGAGAGTCTCTGTTTTTTCTTTTTAGTGCTTATAACGGCAATCCTATTACAGTTCTTGTTATTTGTTAATGTAAGTATTGTGTTTAGCATGGTTGGTGTTATTGCATCGTACCCTCACAATTAATCTATCATATGATTTGTGAATCGACAGCAGAGCAAACATTGCTGTTGTATTTAATGGAAATTTAAACAAAAAATTTGTCAAATATTACCATAAATGATTTCAGGTAAGGTCATAAAGTTATTATTCAATGACTCTAATGAATCCCTACAAATAACTGCAACTCATAATTTTATCTTATGTCATCTTTGCATATCTAATTTTTCACTCTGTTTGTTTAAGCCAAATCTGAAATATTCATGATTCTTTAACTTACCTTTGTTGATCCATATTTTTGACCTGATTTTTTATTTCTGACTTTTCGGAATAAAATCGATTTATTACTGAAATTTTGATTTACTGATAGATTATTACTTCTTGACTTGCTAACTATGTTCTCAAGGTTACTGAGATATTTACATTATTTGTTAGCCTGTATATTTTGTCTCTCTAGTTTAGTCCCTATGTTAAGCTATATATCCATGTTGTCTCTCCTGTTGTAGTTTGGTGGAGGCAGAGTAATCCGCCCTGGAGAGGTGCTTGAAACAAAAGAAGACAAGGCTGAGAAGCAAGCTCGAACTAGACAATTACTTGCTGCCTACAAGAATAAGATGGGTTTGAATGTCGATCCGAAGACAAAAGCTGAATGTGAAAAGGTTCTTTGAGGGATTGCATGTTTGTTAGTCCTTCCGTACGAGTGAGCAGATGCACTGTGCCTGTGTGTGTGCTCCCGTGTATGCACGTGCACACGCATGCGTGTGTGCATGTGTGTGTGATCGTACTTATGTGCTTGATGGTGTAGTATCATCAATTTCTTGATCAAGTGTTTGTGATAGCTCATAACTCACAATGGATGTTATATATGGTATATATACAAATCATATATCCACCATTCAACAAATAGTTTCTTTTAACTTCATTATATATTTTCATGCATGAGATCTCTGTGGAATTCATGGTTACTTTATTTTAATTTTAGGTTTCTCTTTTTGCCTACTGTTGATGGTGATTTTCTGCTTCTCCAAATTGTGCTCATTCACCTTTATTTCTAGTGTCTTATTCAGAAAGGTTTTTGTCTAGCAATGGTCTAACTATATGCAAAAGAAAATCTGCATTCTGTGGCCATTGAGGGTTCCTTGTATTGGATTTAGTTTTAGAAATTTAGATTGGTATGTGACCATTTCCGTTGTGTATAGGGGTTCAGCTACAATCTTCCACCCTTCACACTAAAGGCACTCTTGATTATACGGGTCTCATGCTAGGATTCATCCATCTATTGAATACCCTGCCATGTATTCCTTTGATTGAGAGTGCGTTGATGATATTAAGCTGCTCCCTTTCTTCCATGGCAGGCTTTAAAGGATGGTGATTGCTTGATGGAACTTGGAAAACTTAAAGATGCACTATCATACTATGAGAAAGTAATGAAGAATCTAGTGTTTCAGGTGATCGTTTCATTTTGACACATGACATCAGCTTACCTTGAATTAAAATAAGATTTTTTTTTTTTTTTTAATTTCCCATAATTCTCCTATTTTCTGTTTCCAATAATTATGCCATCGAGTCTATGAATACAAATGCAATGTCAACCATCACTACCTTTAAATGTTTGCAAGTGTCTGCGATTAAATAGAGCATTTAACCAAACGTATTTCGTTTGGGGGTTTGTTGGATTTGGGATTCACCAACATGAACATGCACATGGGTTAATGTTAGAATATGTGTATGAATGCGCATGAATTTTTTTTTTTTTGAGGATCTCCCACCCTTGCCCCCACATTCTTTGCCTGTGCTTCTGTCGGTGGGCCTTTTGCGTCTCCCCCTGCTGCCCCCGTTTCTGCCGGATCAACGGAAACTAGGTCAGCTATTGGATTGAAAGGAACAAGTGAGGATGCTAGAAGGTATACTAGGCGAGGTGTTGGCTCTAGGTCATCAATAGGTTCTGGTCCTGTCTTTGCCTCTCCTTCGACCTGCGTAGTATTCCATGGGCTTTCGAACTGCAATTATAGGATTTGACTAAAGTGTAGGTGGTTTAGATTCAACTTCCAATGCTATTGTTCGCTAAGCAACCACCGTGGTTAACTTTATAAGTTTCTATATATAAAGTAAAGTATTACATCAGAGAACAAAAGACAGTGTCGGACAAGTTTTTTTTTGAAGAAGGTTAACTTTATATTGATAGAATAAAATGTTACAGCAAAAACCAGAAGTCAGCATCCCGCAAATTGGGTGCTCAGTAAACAAAAGTAATTTCAGAGAGAAGAAAGAGGGAGAAGAGGTAGAGGAGAAGTGAGACATAGAGAAGGGAATATATAGGGTGGCTTCATAATAGAGCCTGAAACAAATATAAGTATGAAATACAAAATCTTCAAAGTGCTGGACAGTCTTCTTAGTGAGCTTCGAGTCTTCCATCCTTACTGGCCTAGTTGCAAGAGACGAGTAGAGGCCATTGGTGAGCAGGGTCAGGAGAAGAGAGAAGAGATGTAGAATCGAGATGGTGAAAGATAGATATGAGAGAGAGTTAGAGGTAAAGGGAGAGCAGCAGAGAGAGAAAAAGAAGGTGAGACAAAAGAAGGGTTTAAAATCCTTTTTTTTTTAATGAAATAGGATGAAAAGGGGGACAAGGAATGAGAAAAGGGGAAAGAGAGTATAAAATAGGAGTGAGGCTTCATTATGGAGCTTGATCCATAGAGAAACGAAAATATGCATGCTGAATTTGGAGCTGTATTTTGAGTGAGCTTCAGTTCTCCCGTCCTTACTGGCCTTGAATGAAGAGGTAGAAGAGAGAGATGGGAGTTGGGGTAGGTTTAGAGTGGTTTGAAGAGAACGAGGATTGACTAAAGTGAGTTGGGCTCAGGCAAGAATAGAGAGGCATTGTGCCAGAGGGATGAGAAAGAGTTAGAAGAAAAGGGGGAGACGAAACAGAGGGTTTAGGGAGAGTGGCAGAGTTAAGAGAAAGAGACGGAGTTAGAGATAAAGGGGTGCAGCGAAGAGAATAGGTAAGAGACTATATCCTACAACGTAAACTTTCTAGGATATTCCCCCCCTTTTTCTTCTTTTTCCTTTGTATTTTCTTTTTTCTTTTTTTTTTCTCTTTTTTTTTTTTCCATTTTTTCGTAAGAGGAGGGAAAGATAATAGATTAGAGAGAAGGGGTCTCAGAATAGGGGGTGCACCTGTGGCATTATGTGCTCCTTCCTTGGCTAATCTATTTGCCTCACTGTTGGCCTCACAAAGAATGTGCTTAAAAGTGACTTGAGGAGTGGAGCTGCATAAGGTGATTTGCTAAAGAATGTGGAAGATTCTCCAAGGCGGTTGTTGTTGGTGGCCTGCCTAATGGATTGAGTTGCTAGAGTCCTTTCTACAATTAGACCTTGGTATTGCGTCCAAAATTGAGGTACGAGCTTGAGGCCTTCCAAGAGGGCCTTTGCTTCAGTGAAAGTGGAATTCGAGATTCCATTGAAATATGTGAAAGATAAGGACATACTTGACGAATTTAGTGGGGTACCTCTTATTCCAAAAGGTCTCGGGTTACCAAGAGGAGAGCCATCAATATTTAGCTTGAGAAACCTAGTTCGTGGGGGAGACCACACTGCTCTAAGTCGAGAGGGTGGGATTGAGAGGTTTAGAAGTGATTTCTAAAGAGAGATCAAGGTTGTTATAGAGTCAAAAATCGGGTTTTGACATTTCGATATTCGTTTGAAGGTTCTAGAGTTCCTTTGTATCGAAACGCTTTAGAGGAGAGCAGCAATAGATAACTGCCAGAGCTTCCTAGTGTTTCAAAAAGCACTAGGTGGCTGTGGGGGTCCAGACTGCCCAGTGCCTAGACAGGCGCCCAGAACCTTGGCACCCCAGTAGAAAAAAAATGTTAGAATTTTGATATTCTAACCATAAATGAGGAGAATTTTGTTATTCTAACCACAAATATTAGAATTTTGATATTCTATCCATAATCCGTATTTGATATTTCCATGAATGAGAAGAATTTTGATAGTCCATAATCCATATTTTCATACAATGCTAAAGCCATACAAGCATATACTGATACACACAAAAGTTAGATAGTAGAAACTATAAACTAAAAATAAGAAAAAGAAAATATATAGAAATTCAAAAAATATACAGTCTGACATAATAGTCAGCACTCAGTAGTGAATACCGAGAGTCGAGCATCTTCAACTCTTAATTCTTCAGTCATCACTATCATCATCATCATCAGAAGGAGTAGGGTAAGCCTCATCATATGCATCAAATTTGAGGCCATCATCATCAGAGTCATCTCCTCCCTCTTCAACATAACGCTTGTCCTCCTCTGTTTCTTCTGAATCTGCCTCGTTCTTCTCTTCTTCTACCTCACTCTTACTCTGTGCAGATGGGGCCCTAGGAGTCTTGGCTGCTCTACCCTTTTCTATCTTTTTGTGCTTCCCTTAACTCAAATATTGTATAATCTCCTCCCTGGTAACCTCAAGAACATTTTTATACGGGACAAGATGCCCCTTAATGCCGGCAAGGTGTTTTTTGAACCGATAAATACCCCCATTAGTATTTGTTCCACAATAATTATAATTAATACGATTTTTGTCATTCGGGTTCAAGTTATGACCATACTTCCAACCCGGATCGCCACTTCTAGAAGAACATGGAGAAGATATTTTCATAGAACAAGACTCATTTTCATCCTTTTTTGGTTCTATTAAATTCAGAAATTGTCAAATAGCTTCAGGAACTTTTTACAAGAAGCAACATTACTTTTAATATCGGCAAGGTATTTCTTGAATCGGTTAATACCCCCATTGGTATCTTTTTCACAAAAATTATACCTATACAATTTTTATCGTTTGTTTTCGGGTTATGACCATACTTCCAACCCGGATCATTTCTTCTAGCAGATCCAAAAATGGACCTATTCAAATGACAAGGATTTTGTTCCTATTTCTGTTTTACAGAACTTATATATTGGTTACTCTCCCCTCTGATAGCCTTAGGAACATTTTTACAAGGGGCAACATTCCCCTTAATATCGACAAGATGTTTCTTAACCCGGTTTATGCCCCCTTTTTATATCTTTTCCATAATAATTGCATCTTATGCAATTTTTGTCGTTCGGATTTGGGTTATAACCATATTTTCGACCCAGATCTCCACCATGACTACATCCTGAAGAAGACATCTCAAAATAAAACAAGCAATCTAAACAATAAAAGTTTTGCACTTACTTTGATTGCTTGAACTCTAAACTTCCACTTTTGAGATGTTTCCTGGTGCTAAAATATTCAAAAACCTCTAATAGGATTAAAAAAACTCCAAAACTAAATCTAATAATGATGGGTGATGTTTGGATCTATTTCCCGTAACTTTGAGAAACACTTTGATCCAATGAAAATCACAAAATCTAGTTTTTTTGAGCTTTATCTCTCTCTAAAATAGGTTCTTGTGGGTTTAGGTTTCAAATGAACCTAAAACCAACCTTTAAAAGCTTTTTATTTTTTCGAAAAAACCCTTAAAAAAGTTCATTTCTGCCCCTGGGGGGGGCGCAGGCCCTAGGCAGCCGCCCAGGCCTTTTGGACCACCTAGGCGTTGGGCGGTCTGCTTTTTGAATCATTGGAGCTTCCTCCCATGTTTAGAAAAGGGTGGAGAAAGGAAAGCTGAGAAAAAGTTATCTAGAGAGGGGGGTTCACCCATTGCAATTCGAAGAGCTTAAGGATTGAAGACCACAGGAGGGAGGATACCTCACAGCGAATGAAAAGATGGGGAATGGTTTCTTCTTGGTGGAGGCAAAAGATGCAACAGTTATGTAAGGAAAGCCCCCTCTGCTGTAACTGGTCCAAGGTTAGATTTCTACCTTGAAGAAGCACCCAGATGAAGGCTTGAATTTTATAAGGAATTGAGAAAAACCAAATTTTATTTAGAAGAGGGGCAGAGGCAAGATTAGGGAGCATAGAGGAGTATAAAGAGGAAACAATGAATGAGCTGGAGGGGTTTGGATACCAAATTATAGAGTCTTGATGGAGAAGTGAGCTAAAGAGAGGGGTAAGGATATGAAGGAGGGACCGTAAAGGTTGGTATTCTTAATATGTTAGATTTCTCCTAAAAATGGGTGTTCAAATCAAAGAAGATCCCCTAAACTCTCTGTACTCCGCAATCACCGCCTCTTAGTTAAGAGCCAGGAGAAAGAGAGAGGGGAAGACTTGCTTGAGAGGGGACTCACGTAACCAAAGATCGAGCCAAAATCTAATTCTTTGGCCATTGTCCAATCTATGCCTAACACAGTTGAGGAAGGCAGATTTGTTGGATGATATGCATTTCCAGGCTCTAGACGATTTGGGGGGAGATTCAGGACACCAATCGTCATTTCCATGTCCATTTTTGGCTTGGATGATGTGTTTCCAAAGGAGAGGGAGGGGGGAGGTAGAACACCACCACCATTTGCTTAGCAATGCAAGATTC